TCGACGAATAGATAACTAAAATGCTCTTCGGTATATTTTTTGCCTAGGCAACAAAACTGAAAGCGAAATTCAGTTCGATAGTAGGTAACTAAGTACAGACCAATGGGTTAACAGGGCCGTCCATCCGCTCAATCTAAGCTCATAGAGCGATAGAAAAATGTATTCTACGAATAGGGGAGCGTTCATAAGTTACGTAACGCTCTAAGGGGAGGGAGGGGGTATGAACGTGCGTTACTAGGGGGCGGGGGGTAATTGCTAGCGTCACGTCACCCTCTCTATTGGTAAAAAAATACGCAACACCCAAAATGTATCATCCTCATTTCTCCGACGTTATTTGTGACACAACTTATAATTACCATTAAAAATATTTCAAATTTTATCAAGCCATATATTCAACAGTTTCTCACGATTTTTGGGATCTTACTGGGAACGCGGATGGGTCCTCCAAACGTTACGTAATTATCAAGGGGGTTCGGAGTGACGTTACGAAGCGTTTCAACAGGGGAAGGTATCCGAAACGGCGAAAAAAAAGGCGTTACGTAATTTATGAACACTCCCTAGCTAACTATTTGCGCAATCGCACATTGTCCAGTGGTCAAGTCGTCGCATGCAGCAGGATAAATGTTTTCGAAAAAATTGCGTTTTCGTGCTTCCCAGAAAATTCGATATACTAATCTCTTCGATTCTTTTGATTATTGCGCTCCTCTATTTGTCTCATCTTTTTCTTTCCTCTCATTTTCAGTGATGGCGCGGGCGTCTAGTGCATAGCCTCTTTCTAATTTTCCGTACACCACCCTTAATCTTGAGAAGCAGTGTTCTTTTTATCTCCCTAGAGTAACCCGGCGCGGCGGTGGTTTCACCTCTGGTTAATTATGAACTTTAATTAGTATGAAGTCAAATTTTCGCTAGTGAATGAGGTTTTTAACTATAATTTGGGGGTATAAAAGTTGGAGAGTTCAATCGACGACCCGAGTTGCGTTGCGTTGAGTAAGTTCTGTCGCAAGTAAGTAAGCTTCGGAAAACTTGATGGGATACATTATCCTTCAAATTAGCAATTTGCAGTCAACAGGCAAATACGATGGCGCATTGGCCCATGAAAAAATTGCAAATTCCCAAAAGTTGTCACCTCTGCTAATGTGGAAGGGAGTGACTTTATAGAGCTTTTGGGGGGTAAAAAAATGGCGGAAAAGAATGCGAATGGAGATGTTGCATGTGTGAGGGATTTGCGATTTGACCATTGATTCTTAGGTAAAAGTTCGCGAGAAACACGATGGTGCCACTGGTTTCTTCTGAAATCAACTCCCAAGCTCAAGAAAAGCTCTCAAGTTGAGGCCAAAATGGAGGGGATATCCCACCCTACCCTTAGAGTCCACCTCAACATCAAAACAAACTCTCCATACATAGATAGGGAGCAAATACATTAGCAGGGTTGCCACTTTATTTGGAGACTCCAAAACTGAAAACACGGCAACCCTGCTAATTTATTTGCTCCCTATCTTTGCATGGAGAGTTCATTTTGATGTAAAGGTGGACTCTCAGGGTAGGGTGGGATATCTCCTCCATTTCGGCCTCACTTAAAGAGCTTTTTTTTTAGCTTGGGAGATGATTTCAGAGAAAACCAGAGGCACCATCGCGAACTTTTACATAAGAATCAATGGTCAAATCGCAAATCCCTCACACATGCAACATCTCCATTATTGGATAAGGCAAAAAATAGGCTTACTTTTGATTTTATCCCTGTGAACTTAGTCATTCAAACTATTTTAAGCGTAATAACTCTGTTTTGAAACGATTTTTTAGCATTGCATTTGAAAACAGTATTTTCAACTTAGATCTCTCGGTACTCGGTAAGGAGAAACGCCGTATGAACCTTCAGATGTTGCCAAATTTCCTTTGATAGAACGCGAAACTCCAAGTAAAGATATGAGTATTTCCCTTCTAATTTTTTATATACCTAATTTTGTCCGCAATTTCACCTATCCTAAATATTTCAAGGAAAATTATACATAACATGCCTCAAAAATAAACATTTTATCAAAGGAAATTTGGCAACTCTCGAATGTTCATACGGCGTTCCTCCTCAGCACGGCAGTAACTAACGATATCAAGTTCGGCGAAACAACCAATGAAGCGAATGAAAACCTGGGTATAAAGGGACTCTATGAAAACCGTCAGAAATTGGCAACAAAGCCCAACCCCTTCCCACCCTGAGTGGTCTCCATCTTTTCTGTTCTTAGAGGTCTTCATGAGACACGGAATCAGAACTCTTTCTAGAAAGACTCTAATTTAAGGAAGGTCTAAAATCGTTGAGACGAACACCAATAAATTGCCTGCGCCCTATAATGGCCTATAATGCGCCCGATTTTACATGAAGATAAAAGGCAAAAAATGATTATTTTTCCCAGCACTATTTGTCGACAATGAGCAGTACTCATAGGCTCCGAATGCAGTTCGAAATTTTTAAAGTTTTTGGTGCACGGGACAAGGGGGCCGGGGAGCAGATCGTGCCCTGCAAAGGCCTTGATAAAAAGTTAGCCCCTTCCTTCCGTACCTGATTTGGAATATGACTACAATAAAGGTCTCTATAAAATCACGGGAATAATTTAACTTCGAACCCACGCCCTATCAAAAATTATTGACTTAAGGTAGTATTATCACCACTTAGCATTTTGAAAACTAAATAAATACCATTTTTTGCTTTCATGGAGAGAAGACAGAGGTAGTCTACCCTTGTCATTTTGTCAAATAGAGTTTATTAAAAAAAAAAAAAAGTATGGATTTCTGTGCAGGGATTATTGGACAGAGCTCATCGACAGAAAATAATATTTTTGGCATAACTCACTGCTGCTGACTTCCTTGTACACAAATCAGATATTTTGTGAATGTGTGCATGTGCTTTCAGCCTTTCTGTTTAAATCTAGCTACTTAAAAAGCATTATCACAGGGATGAAGATAGGACAAAGGAATTAAGATGGCTTCATTTGATGCAAAAGAATATACCTAAAACAAGATTCTATCACTCTGTGAATTCACTTGATATCTTCAGCATAGAAACCTTGAGCGAAGGTATTCGAATATTACTTGGGAGGGGGGGGGGATGTCTTCTTGGGTAAATATTTAGACGTGTGGTGATATACTACTGCAATTTCTCTGTGGAGGGGCACGAACATTACATTCTGAAGGGCAGGCCCCACAAGAGCCTCTCCTAGCTGAGGAGCCTGGGCAGCAATAGGGGGGCCAGGGGGGGGGAGTGCTGCCCTCCCCTCAGAAATCTTAACCCCTAGCAAGGGAAGAGGGCGATTTCTCTTCGTAAGTGCCAGACATATCTCTCATTGAGGAACTTGAAATTTGATACATTTTTTGGTGTAAATATATAGCTTCAAATTGCTCCGGGGGCAACTCAGTTTTGAAACATACCAGGGGAGGCCCCTAAGCTCCTCAGTAAGGCTAGGAAAATTCCTCGAACACTCAGTTGAAGTTATGAGAGTCCAGTAGCGGCAGGCAGAC